TATTTTTTATATATATATATATATATATATATATATATGTAAAAATTAGATCAACTGGTAGACGAGCATGAAATAACATAAACGAGAACTCAACCAGAAACCCAGAGATCAGATTGTGAAAATTGAGTTAAAAGCCTTTTAATATTTCAATTGTTTCATCTTGAACAGAGTTTGCATCGCCAAGGGTAATAATGATAATAGAGAAAGAAAATTTTATCAATCGGGATGCAATAAAGTCCATTGACACAATTATTTGGAATAGGAACTTACAAAATCCCCTAAAAATAAACTATTACTGATTATTTTTTTATTATTCATGATCTTGAACTAAGGTTTTCTACCTAAGGGTTGCAACCATTTGGTAGATTCTATAAATACGTTTTCAATCACATTTGATAAGAAATCCAATTGAATATATCTTGAAATAACGACGAATCCCATGAAAAGAAATGTCTAATTTCTCTCAACTACTGAGTTGGGGTTTTTTGGTAGTATCATATCTACTTTAAAGCCACCAACCGATTGAAATCGCTTCACATTAGATGGGAAATCCAGTAGGAGGCCTTTAGGATTTTTTGCAGTCCTCCAATTGGTAGGCTTAAATCTATTAGAAAAAGTCACCATAATTTGCACTCGATATGCCTCACCTTACCATTAATAATCCCTTGTTGAAACCCTCTTTCACCTAATGAAAAATTAACTTTTTTGTATATATGAAATGCAATCAGCAATTTTAAAAAGTATGTGCAATTAAATGGTGTTACTGCAAGGAAATGTTACATGGTTACAATTTCGATGGAGTACTCTCAGTGAAAACGGATCGTCACAAATCTCCCCCCCCTCCCCCCCTCCATTGTATGCACCTTCTCATGATTATCCCTTAAAACCTTGGTTCATTAGCTAAACTCGAATTAAAGTGAAAATGCACTTAAATGTTCAACATCCAATGCACGTCTCAGTGACTTATCAAGCTATAGATATCTTTTCAGTGCAAAATACTCAGCAATCACAACGGTTATATCGTTAAAAATAGCAAAAATTGTCAGGTTTGCTATACATGTTTACATGTAACTTTTCAATTTCTTTCAATGGATTTCAACAAATTCAGATTTGCTAAATAGGCCACTTTGATTATTACGTTTGATTTGCTAATTAAGTTAATAGTTAGAAAATATCAATACAAAGGTAATAATATGGTAAGTTAAAATATGTTTAAATGAATGTAGAAACATTAAAAAGTAATAAAATCATTTAGGAAATATTTCAAACAGTTTAAATGAACTCACTGAACGCAGTTCATGGTGAATCGTTATTATTGAAAGTAAAAAGTTTCAAAGTAGGTGAATCAGAAGGAATTATTTTACTTAATTACCCTCTTAAATATGATCTCTTTCTCGGCTTATTCGCTTAATAAGTCATGGTTAGCACAAAGACATGACGGGATATCCACTACGCCCACGCATCCTCTCTATCTCTGTTTAATCGTAATTACTTTTGTTGCATAATAAATCTATCGTAATAACCTTTTCGAAAATCTCCGCTTGAACAAAATTTAGCCAAAGAAGGAATGCTGCTTTTTTGGCTGAAATATGGAACTTGTGTGCTATTAGTACCAGATTTCCATCATCCTATGGAGCAGTTTCTATGAATATCAAATTTTGAGAGAGATAGCAGTAGGATCTAAAGTTTCTAATTTATGTCCAGCTGAAAATGTTAAAAGATATTTTGCTCTTTAGATAGTTACATCAAAGCAATGAAATTTTGGATGAGGAAAAGGTTATTGAAAAGGGATTATAGCATGTATTCTTCACGTGGGCAGTAGGATGATCTGAATCAGCGTGAGTGGGTCCTAGTTGTGTCGTCATAGCGCTAACGCTCACGCACGATATCTGTATTTACGCGCGCAAAGTTGGCTTGCGTATGAAAAAATCAGTCGTACGTTTTTTCTCTAGGTTGCGAGCTATGATTGGTCAGCATCAACACGTGCGTAGCAGTGGCTGAATAAGCGTGTAGTATGAGTGATAATGACTAACCCATTTTGTTGTTGTGGGCGAATAAGGAAGAAAATCTAACAGCAATCATCCCCCAATAAGTTACGCTTTTCCTACATCCAATAGGATGAAGTCAGAGAGCCTTACTTATTTACATTTGACTTAGTTCTTTTTCGATGTCATAGCTCGAAAATAGAATTATGAACATTAATTTAAATAAGAATATTAAATATACATTGATCTTCATATGTGAAGACACCTTCCAGGGAGTCAGGAAAATTTTTTTGATAAATCATCGAAAGATCTGTTGGCTACTAATATAGCAGCGGTTTTCCATTAAATAGTTAGAAATAAACCTCAGTCTGGTTAGGAATTTTTGGCTTGGAGCAGCCGAAACAGTTGCGAGACAGATGAACTTAAAATTGGACATGCGTTTAGCCGACGTTCCCACCGGGCTAAATCCACAGTAGACACAAATCGAATCGATCCTCACATTGGGAGGAAATCAGCTGCAGTCCTTACTGGCCAATTATGTGGTGGTATTTAATTTCCCATCTTTGGGATAAACTGAAAAGTAATAGCATATTCTGCGTGGGAAAGCGCGCTCCGGTTGGAAAACTAAAAGTAATATTTGTTATTTATTACGTTTGATTAAGAACGAGAATGTTTTAGTATTGGAACAAGATTTCAGCACGAATCTTATACTTCGTTCAAGATTTGTTTCCGGAGTGATTCGGGGATGATCCCTTGAAAATTCGAGACCAAACTAATGCTTGAAATCGAAGATACTAAATGCGTTTAAATACTGATGTCGAATCTAGGATTTCAGAGTTCTAACCCTTCATTAAATAGCCAAATTTTGGCTATTTCAACCATGGACTCCTTAAACATTTGATTTAAAAGTGGGCTTTCTCCCTGACACGGTATTCGGTATGGCATTCTCCAAGCAGAAACATGTTAAACTTTGGCTAGAAAATGTCGCAAGATCGCTATTCATTAAGCATATTATGGGTTCACGATATTCTTGAAGAGGTTAATTTAGACTCGCTTCGAAATGCTAAAACAGAATGAGGTTTTAGCTAGAATTAAATTAAAATTTGCTGATCTGGAGCACTCCAGTATAAGGGCTCATAAAAGTTACCATTCGCTTTAACCTCTCGCAGATATTCCCTTCCGATTTTAAATGCACACTATTCTCATAAGATCTGATCACAGTCGAAAGTTATGGGATTCACATGTTCATATGTAATGTGTGAAAACGACTCAGTACTGAACACGCAATATGGACAAATGTCTGCTCCCCCAACTGCCCTAATTTAAAGACAACTCCTTTTTTGTAACATTTATTGACCCATTTCCCAATTACAATTACTTAAATATTGATTTTGGAGATAAATTATGCAGATAATAGAGATGATTCAGAGAATCACGGTAAATTTGATATAATTGCGTAAGCTGATAACTAAGAAACTGGAGACTTGATCGGTCCACTCCAACTGCTTTTTGATTCAATTAAGTCAAATAAAGGCCTTACGAATTTATTCGCCCAGACTAACAGAATCCCCGAGATACACAGCCATTCGTCTTGACCCAGAGGTCAATAAGCACATCTAAGGCCAGCCGCCCTAAACAGGCAAAACAAAGACCAAATCAATTACCTCCATGTTTATTCAAAGCGACATATCAAAGTGGAAATACAGATAGAGTTCAGGAAGAAACATAAAGAACGCCACCGGGAGAATTTAAAAGACAAGGAGAGGGAATCGGTCACCATAGTACAAAAAGATCAAACAAAGACACACGCATACAAGGTAGAAAAACTGGGATGTAAAAGTGATAGAGAAAGAGATTTTGTTTCAGTAACTATTACCAAATGCATATTATTACTCACCGGGTTTCAGCATCCGTATTTACAAAGTTCGCTTATAAAAATACAAAAAAGAGAACGCGGAGTGACAGGACCGGTGGTGGTCGTAATGGCGTCCAGAAAATGGTGATGAAATAGAGATGAGATATTACGAGAGGGCTGAAACCCCTGGGATTCAGGCACGATGAGCTTGATTAGGTGAGACACACTGAGATTGCATTGGATGTTGATGTTGAGCCTGGACACGGGGTAACATGATGGTATCAAGTTGCTCCCTTACGCCAGGAATTGTCTCTGCTAATTGTTCAACACAATTCCTTAACTGCTCAGCCTCCTTTTGTGATGTTACCAGTTGAACACGCAGAGTCTCTGTGAAGGCAGACAATTGAGCCACCTCGGTCTCTAGGCTCTGAATCTTGCTAATTTTCCTCTCACGACACCTCCTTGCTGCCAGTCGATTTCGCGCCCGTTTTTTCTCCATCTTATCTACACTTGGATCAAGATTTGAAAGGGACGCCTCCGATGTGGAATCGTATGTTGACATGGAAATTGGATGATTTCCACGTCTGGAAGGTCCACCGGCATTGTTATTAACGGGGGTTTGAAGCTGTTGAGCCTGTTGTTCCATTTTAAGGCCGTTAGCAGATATAGAGGACAAATCAGGGGGGAGATAAGAGAGTTGGCTACCACTATTACCCATTCCACCACTTGAAGATGCGTTGATAAGAGCTTGAGCAGCAGCTATCGTGGGCTCATGCCTTCTGCGACCGCGTTTTGTCCCCGAAGAGGGCATTGGAGGATTTTGAAGGGGACGTTTAGTGCCCATCATTAAACCTTCCTGCGGCTGCTGGTCTGGAACAGGATAATTAGGCATCCCAGAAAGGTAATCATTGGGGTGGCGCTGCTGGTGCGCGAAGTTATGACTATCGTAGTTGGACGATACAAGATTGGTTAGATGACGCTGGTCCAACAATGTGTTCATTCGACCCCCCATCAAAGCATTCTAAAAAATACATAAAGGAATAGCTCTTAGATTCTAAGGCACCAAGAGCAATTCAGTTGTACCTTCGTAGTGATCACAACCATGACCATTATCCACGAAAAGCTGTTAATTCTCAATAACCAAAATACCCAACTGAAATCCCATTCCGCGTGGAAATCATGAATTGCAACTTATTTTAAAGTTGTAATTCAGAGCGTGATTAAAGTCTACTCTAAGCCTAGCCATCACAGCTCTTACCTCTCAACACTTAGCTGGTTTAGGAATGACAAATGTATGAATATGCCGGTTTAAGCATGTTCCCTTCAAAGAGGGAAGACTATAAAATGCCTGATTATTTGCTTGAGGTAATATATTTGAAATGAGCACAAATCCCCCCGCCAAAAAGTAGAACTGAAGCCGACATGCGTCACTTTGGCTAACAAAGAATTTAAAACGGGTAGCTTTTGACATTTACAAAGCGGTTCCAAACATTTCGAAGTAAATTTCAACCGATCTTAACCCTCCCCCTCCTCAATTGCTGTAAATTGGAAATATAGCAAAACAATGTCGACATCGTTAATGAGAACAAATCAAAGTAAACAAGAAAACAGCCAAATTTCAGTGACACCAACCCCTTAATAGTTGACCGGTCCAACTTCCGCAACCCACGATGGTGTTGCAAGTAGACATCCAACTCCAGCCAGAAAAATAGAAAGGAAACCGAGTCTAAGCGAGTATATTTCATACGAAAGAAATTAAACCAACCATACATATTCGAAAATCCTAACGATATAACACAAAGAATCTAAAAAAGAGGCAGTCTGCAGGACCGTTCAAGAGAGCGCAGTTTCTTTGTCTACTTAGTCCTAAAATTAGTAACTTGAAGCGTACGCGCACACACAATGACACGCACGCGCGAAGTGGCCAATTCGAGAACTGGAATAGACCATCAGCCTACCCCCATGGGATGATTCACAGGAAGACGCGACAGCAGTGGCAAACACACTTTCTTGTCAGTGTGACTCAGAGGTGATATGGCCGCACACGATGATTCATACTCTATTCTACCTTTCCCTCCCTCCTTTATACACTAATAGAGAACGCCATATCTGTTCAGGGCCCACTCGAAAACTGTGGACAGCCCGCGACTTGACAATCAGTAGTGATAGAAGTAGTGCGAATTACATCCAGCCAAACCGTCGGGTAAATAAACCGATATGTGACCTTAAAATCCCACAGAAAACACGTGGCGACTTACTTGGTCAGTTGAATGCTGGAAGACAAATCCATCGGTAGTCGTATTGACTAATTGATTTCCGGTGAGAGAAGAGGCGTTAGTGAGATCAGCAAGAGTGGGATTGTTAGATGGATCATCCGTAGAGCCAGCAACCATCATATTTGCGAGAGACGAGTAATGATCGCCATTATTGTTGCCTCCGGTTCTCAAAGGAGGCAAAGCGTAACGCGGAGGAGCTGTATTCGAAACTGAAGGGAATCGATTACTGGGGTTCTCAAGGGCTGGAGATACCGGAGAAGTAGAGTCACCCGTTGTAGAAGGGGGAGATATATTTGTGGATATAACGGGGGCTTCGGAAGAGCGCATCCCATGGCCTAACATAGAATAGGTCTCTGCGATCAACATTGAGCTTCGAGAAACCGATTCACCGTTATTATCATCAGGATTGCTTGAAATGAAAAACAACAATTTAGCAGTCAAAAAATAGATCCCTAATGTAAAAGTGATGACCATCTGATGAATAGCGAAAAGTGGAAAATGAGCAAATGGAACTCTCTTACATACCACAGATTGACTCGTGTAGGTGTAGATGGATTGGTAGAGCGTTCATTTGCCGTAGCAAAGGTAGCTAGGGGAGATGCGTTAGATGAACGGTGCTGTAATTGCTCATCAGCTAGCGGGCCTTCACGTTCACTCTTTATCTTGTCAAATGACTTGGTGAGTTGCCTATTCAAAATTGATTCAAATGAGTACTTATTCAAACTACTCCTCAAACATCAGCCCCCAAGTGCATGCAAAACCAATCAATATTCCGGCGATTAAGATTCAACCAAGACAGCTTGTACCAAACAGAAGAAAGCAAACAAGTAGAAAATGTTACTCACTCTGCAAATTGCTCGGAATCGGCGGGAACATCCTTCGGGTTCAAGAAAGCAGTGGGAGTCATGGGATTATTACTGCAGTCAGTCTGAAGCTGAACGATAACCTTGTCACAATCTGAGGATTCACTGCGTTTCAATGCGGGGTAATTCCGAGAATGTTGATGTGATTTGAGATCGGCGTAGTTAGTAGGAGTACTATCAAACCGTAGTGTAAGACTACCGGGCCGGTTGGGTGATTGATCTTGCATGTCCATACAAAATTGTGACATCGTATAAGGTAATCGTCAGATTATTACGATACTCCAAAATTGGATTAAAAATCGTTTCTTGAAAAGCCACACAACAGCTAAGCACGATACCAAAGTCTTTTGCAAGACGTTTCTAAACCAGTGGTGCGAAGAAACAGTCGGAAACCGCAATACCGTTAAATCAAATGGTACAAATGAGCGTCTTTGTAAAGGTAAGGGTAAGGCCACGATGTGGCGAAATAAAACAAATCCAAACCTAATTTAACGATTTTTATTTGCTATCTAACAATATTATTACGATTAATAATGTATTTATTTTTTACGTTTGTTTATAGCTTAAAATGTATTGTAGTATCTCACTTTTTTATGAAAAAATGCAGATAATACAATTATAAAAGCCCGCATTTAAAAGTTGTCTTGCTTTTAAAGCTTGGATAAAATATACTGCACTATTAATACTTTTGGTATGTTCGTTTAATGGCTCATGACCTATTAAATTAATATAAATGACTCGATGATCTTTATCTTATTCAAAGAGGTATGCAACAGTAGAAAATTCATTCAGAGGCGACCATTTCGTAATAATACCATTTTAAAACAAAGATTGCTTGAAAAATTTAACGAATTGAGTACTTGTTCTTTTCAGATTTTTACTAGTCGAGATGGGATCTATTGACTTCAGAATTGACGAACAGCTATTGCATCTCCAGTGAATATTAGAATAACGAAAAAAGCATACAATTTATTTTATTTATCCATTTGGTATTAATAATCAGCTATCAGCTATAATTTATTAATCTTTCACTTTCAGATTGCAACACGAACAATACTTGACTTAATCTCATTAAACTCTAGATTATCGTTGGCATAGAACAATATTTGTAGAAGATTAAAAGTAATGTATAATTTCGAAATGAAAGGTGTAGGAAAGATGGTAATGAAAAAGCGAAAGATATTGAACATTTCACGCATCATATACTGATCAATTCTACTATTACAAAAGCATTAGGAAAATATAGTTGACGTGGAACTAATACATAGGTTGGCCCGATTATGCCATGAAGTATTACCCATTTACCAATCTTCAATATCTTTTTTATTTAAAATAAACAAAACATTACCCATACCCTGTTTACATTAGATACAACAGATACACAGATAGTCATTATATGTTGCTCAATTGAGCCGCTCCTAAATCAAAGTAACGGTACCACGAGTTTATTGTCTTCCTGTATCTTTGTTTTATGCATATCCAATCAATATCTCATTCATGAAATAAGGCATGGGAGTGTATCATCTGACAAGCTACAAACGATTATAGTACTAAGGATATCGAGCAGAGTTAGGTAATTAAAAAGATTCGTAAGAAGAAGTGGGTCTATCTATAAGTTGAACACCGACAAGACAATATTTTAATGAGACTGGGATAAATAAGCTTGTTCTTATAAAAGTAAATCTTCAAACCACAAAATAAACCAAATTATAAGAGACAAAATAGGCAGGGAGAAAAGACCGAGGCAAGGAAAAAAACATTGAGAGATCGATAAAAGGCGGACATTAAGGAGAATCCAAGCCATGAGGAATTGAGTACGTGAGAATACTGGCAGGTGAAGCGGACCGGGTAAAGATAACTTCAAAGTGTGTGATACAGAGCTGGGTAAAGGAGGTAATCAAGCTCTGCACAGACTGAGAAGGCAACACCGAGTTCCGGCGACATCGGATTAGGGCTGGCGCTAGCGTCACCGAGAGACTAGCGGCTGTAACCGAGTTCTTCGACGAGTGTTCCAGCACCTAAAATAATAGTACAAATTATTTTAACGCCATTATAATTACAAATACATTGTAGCCATGTTGTAGCGATTGCTTTAAGTTACTCATCCGGTTGACGAATACACTCATTCTAATTTAATAGGTCTCTTGCCTAGGATTCACTACTCCGTTCTCGCCTAATAAGAAACAAAAAGAGCAATCATTTAGACAACTTTTTAACCCAAGCATAATGGCCACCAAGTCGTAGTATAACCTCTCGTTTATATTAGTAATAACGTGAAGTTTGAAGAATAGCACACAAGTCACCCTTAACAGCATTAAGCTGACGAAAATGGAAACATTTGCTGAAGTATTAGTAGTATTGTAATAGACAATGACATCTCTTCATTGCTGCGTTACTGGTCAATCCGATAGCCAAACAGCCCTCTTTACCCTAACTAAAGTCATTGTTATTTCACCTTTAAATTTAAGGTCTGAAATAATGCTGGCACAACATCCAAAAAGTGCAAACGAAAGAGTTTAGATGCTGAGGTAAAGAACAAAGACATAACTTACACTTTTAAGATTCAATCGCAATGGAATGAAGAGACATACAGAGGTATTTCAGTTCAAACAGGCATTTTTCTTGTCCAGCTATTCGACTTCAAAATAAGTGTGGAATGTAATGAAAAAGCAGGAATTGATGACAGTAAATATTCAAAGTAATGTGAAGAGTTAAAGAATTAAGGACACACTGGTTTCCCGAAAAATTCGCCCGAGGTTTCAAAGGTTATTAAACACATCCCTACCCCCTAACCCCACCCCCTCAAAATTTTCAGATGGTGTGGAATGTTTAATTGAAATATTTACTATTCACACGCATGCACATAGCCTCATATTTATGAAGAAGAAAGAGTAAAGTAAACGAGTGTGAAGATGTAAAGGAAGGGTGACCTGGAAAGGATACTTTCGACAGAAATGAATATTAAATCTCGACAATTGCAAGTCTGCTGGGCCGTGGTTATTTAAGCTGAAGACATTTCGACCAACTAAAGGGTGTGGCAGATCTCTCAACTCAATTCAAAATGCACACCAACTCATCGTCCTATCTTTTTCTCCTACAGGTAAATTAAAGTTAGATTGCGAAATATCATGTTCCGCCATACAATATTTGGTATAGACCAGATATTTATTTATTTATTTATAAATAAATATAAAAAAAGAAAAAAAAGAAACTAGCACATACTTCAGTGAGGAACTTGAAGATATAGTGAAGAATATCGTAGTTCTCCTTTGGCAGATGAACTGTCAGCAATCGTCTTATGGAAATCACTTTATTTTTTGCTGTTTGGCCTAGTTAAAAAAATATTAAACAAGTCAAAATGGGTGTAAAATATTCCGCATATACCCCATAAAAAAGTGCTCATAAGATCCTTCAACATTTATACAACAGCTAAAAGATTAAGACGCCTTGAGTATGACATTCAGAAATTTGGGCAGTATCAGTAACAAGAATAGCAGCATTGAGACCTGGTTCTGTTATCATGAGATGAGGTTAGATAGAGTAAGAGGCATGGATATAAATAAAGTCAATAGAAAAAGACAATGTTAAATAACCTACTACAGGCCCGGAGAATGCCCTCATAAAGGTCAAAGGTTAGAAGAGGTTCGCGCAATTCAGTAAGGAAGGATTTTAAGAGATGAGCAGCCAGATGGGGATTGTTCATCTCATAGAGATCGACATATTCTCCTGAAAAATAGGACGAAAAGGGAAATAAGAAAGGACTTCAAACTCATTAGTAGTCATTCAAAAAATTTGATAAAGAGATCTATTTCAAATGCGTAGAAAAAACCGCATATTAGGTATAGAAAGTTACCGCAATTATAGAGACTCTGAGCATCATGAAGAGCCATGATATGGATAGGTTTGATGAAAATTCCGACAGTGTCCAGTCCTGAAATCACACAAAAGTAAACTAATGTCCAGGTGGATTGCATGCTAACCATATTCAAGAGTGATTAAAGTTACCCTGGCGACGAAGATAGGTAATTGTATCTTCTATGACTATGGGAATTGTTCTACCACCGTCATTCTCTCGAATGCTGCAAAGAGATGTCACAAAGAGGAACTTAGCTCCACGAATTGAGTAATTACAATGCAATCAATCAGTACTACTCGTTTCGGGAAAATCAATAACGGCACCTATTTTCGAGTTGGTTGGACGTGATATTTAATTTGCGAGCATGCAGTCCATATGATCTATAGTATATACGAAAACCTTTACCAGGAGACGATGCAACGTTCCACGTTCGGTCACATCGTAAATGAAAGGCTTTTCTTCTTCTCGCGTATTCGAGTCTAGGCGCCTTTCTAGAGCAAAGTAGCCACTAGGTATGAAGTAGGCAGACATAAACACCAATCACTCTCCGAAGATATTTAGTAAAAATGTGAAAAGAAGAAAAAAGCGAACAATGCTCAGCAAGAGAAATCAGGAGAACAGTAAATTTAGCTCAACTAAAATGTTAAGCTAATTCGATCAACTTTTAAAACTAGATGAAGTAATGCCAAAAAAACATATTTCGGTAGCGTTAATGCAGGTAGGAATCAAAGAAGTGAGTCTTATTAAGGAACTTACAACTTTAGAGTAACCCCAAATTGCTGTTTATCATGAAAGGGAGGATCTTCAAAATCATGATCTCCAAGGACAGAAGCAGCCGCTGGATCAATCGAGAGTGGATTGCCAAAGAGTCCAATTTTGCTATCATAACTACAAATGAAAATTAGCGGCCATTCAATAATTCCCACGTAATAGGAGGAATTGAAATACGAGTAGACTCAAATTTCATGCCAAATATGAAGCCAGAGAGCGCGCGAGGGTGAAAGAGAATAAACAAGGTGAATGTGACGTACTCTCGAATTCGAAGAGGTAAATTCAACTGGGAGACGGGCAAGTAGGTCTCTAATTCACACAGATTCTTTACGTAGTTCAGTTTCCTCCTCATTTTGGTACTAAGAAGATGAAAAGATTGCATGAGACTCCAATGAGAAGAATCATTCACAAAGTTTTAAGCCTATTTAATGCCCCCCCCCCCAATCATTTGTTGAAAAATGCGCCCAACAGCACTCACGCGTGTCTCCTCATAGACTGATGGCACAGACGTGCTGAGTTTCGGTGGTATTAAGCAAAGGTTATAGACACATGTATTGAACATGTTTCAAAGGATAATAGCACCGCTTCTGCTACGAGTCTGTTGTACCAATGGAGATAATTTTGAAAGAGGACCGCGTACGGTCCTGGGGGGGGGGGTGGCGTTAGAGGATTAAACCCTAATGGTGTTTTCCTTCGACTCTTCACGATGATGCAATTCATTTTGCTGAGACTCTTTTTTTCTAAACCGACTTTTGTGAGAAATAGAAACACCAAAATAGAATCTGTGGTAGACCATGTGATTGAAATGCGCTAGAAAATATAGCTTAAAGAAGTCGAAATAATAGAGCACAGTTTACAAAACAATTGGGATTTCTGTGATTAGAAAACAAGCGATTCTCTTTATTGAATGTGTAAGACACGTCATCGCAGCCTAAGCCTTGTGGGACACGTCATCGCATGCCTGCACGCCAGGACTGGGAGATGGGACACGTCATCGCATGCCTGCACGGCAGGATTGGGAGGTGCTACGTCATCGCATGCCTGCACGCCAAGATTGGGAGGTGCCACCGTAAAAACAGTGACCAATCATTAACCTCTGTTTGTTTAACCTAATCTGCCAACCTGATCATGATTAAGCTTCCTGCCTAACACTTTATCCGCAATATACTCACTGAATAAACGTGCTCCGTGCTACACGTCTGTTTCCTTTAGAGCTGGGCTATGGCTCAGCTGGTTCTGGGAGTCTAGCTAGATGTTGGGGAATCTGCCATAGAGATTTCTGAGTCGGTCAGGCTTTAATAAAGTAGCTATCCGCTACAAATGCACGGTTGATTAGAACTGCCATAATTATCAAGTTACTTATATAATAGATATTTCCACAATCTTAAAAAGGATACGTTTGTGTGATTTTATCGAACTCTCCTGAGAGTTTTTCGTTTCTA